ATATCCGACCTCGAGGCAAAAATTAAATCCATGGCGTCGCGTAGGTCGCGTACCCCCGAGCCGCGTAGGTCGCGTCAATTGAGTCGCGTAACGTCGTCGCGTCAATTCTAATTTAGCCGACGCGTATCACCATCGCTAGCACGGAATTATCTACACGAGCTCGCGGGATTCACAGGCTTTCGCAAGTCTAGACCTTTCACACAGCTGTATACTCCCAGATATAATCTCGGAGGAACGCGCCCCCGACGTACGTATATCTGCAGCGTTATCAGGAGGTACGCTCACAAGAAAAAATATTCACAGGCTTTCACGCAATTATATTCCCTCGCAAGAACGTAGTCCGGAGGTATCTACACGCGCGAGATACGCGCGGGTATATCAGAACGGCATTCCGTCTTTGATTTTTCTATTTTTTTGAATCGTGATTGGATTGAGTCGACGCGACGTGATTGAGACGCGACGTGAGACGACGCGACGCACACACGAGGGGTCCCCTCTGTGCAGTCACAAATTCACAATGGAGCGCTCGCTCAGCTCCACTCAACGAGGCAGACGCCCCGGATCTCACGTCGCTTGGGTATACGATTGGCGGGAAACCCATGGTAGAATCAAACCAGTCACCAGGGCGCTGCGACAGTGCGAAGACATATACTTCCCCCAGGGCACTATCTTTATAACCCTTGGCACTAGATACACACGTCTACCTCGACACACGTCGACCCTCTACCACCGCCCGCGAAACACCAGCGCACGCTCACCGAAACACCGCGCCCCACGCCTCCCGCGCTTCCAGCCCCTCCCCGCGCTCGCCGACGCCCAGCGCGCCCCACACGGCGCGCACGCGCGCGCGCTCCGCGGCGCTCAGGAAGCGCACGACCGTCCCGAAGCGCGGGACGCGCGCGAACGCGTGCAGGTACGCTGCGACTGTCTCCCTCTCTGCCGCCTTCCCTTCTGCCATGCCGTCGAGCGTGCCGTCGAGCGCAGCCGCGAGCACATCGGCCGCCTCCGCGAACAGCGCGGGTTCGAGCGACGTCTGGAAGAGCGCGGGGAGCGCGCCGGGCGGGATTTGCTGTGGTCGTGTGAGCCGGGTAGGTGGGAGTGAATAAGTGGAAATAGGTATGAATAAGAGGGTAAGGGGAAGAATAAGTGGGCGGGGAAGGCGACTAAGGAGAAGGAGGAAAGGAAAGGACGCACGGAGAGGAGCGCGAAGCGCGCAGCGGGTGCGGGTGCGGCTTCCCAGGTGCGCGTAAAGTCGAAGAGCGTCATCGGGGATTTGGTCGCGACGAACGCGGGTGCGGGCACGGGGGCGCTCGGGGTGTTGGTGGTTGTTCCGGCGCTGATGCTTGTGCTGGGGGTGGCGGGGGTGGAGTCAATGCGTCCTTCGTTGAAGGCGGAGGCGGAGGGGCCGCCTGCGCCGGCTTTTCGGGCGTCCTCGCCTCTTGCTTCGTTGCGCTCTCGCTTGCCTCCTGCTTCCGCTCCCGCGGCGCGAAGATCGTGCTCTCGCCCGACGCGCGGAAGATGCCTCCGCCCACACGGCTCGGCTTGCTGCTCTCGCGCGCGTTCTTCGCGTCTTTGAACGACGCGGCGGGCTTCGGGGTCGGTTTTGGCTGGGAGTCGGATTGGGGCGCGGCGGCCGGAGGAGGGGACACGGGGGATGGGATGGGTGGGGAAGCATTAGCCTTGGAATTAGAAGGGGCGGTAGCATTAGCATTAGAAGGGGCCAGTGGCCGGGAGGAGACGGGAGTCATTAAATTGGTGGGTTCCGTGCTCGTTTTCGTTTTCGTTGTCGGAGCCGGCGTCGGGGGGGATTTTGGCGTAGAGGACGCACTGGTCGTCGGCGTAGTCCGTCGCCCATCTGCCTCGACGATGGTTATTGGTACCCGACGCCGTTTTGGCGTGGAAGCTACATCTGCTGGGGGAGCTTTCGATTTCTGCACTCGCGTTAGAAAAATATCTGAGCGGATGAAGCGCACTCAATACTTTGGCCGACGCCTGCTGGAGTAATTCCGCGACCTTGGTGAGCTCTTGCTTCACCGACTGGTTTGCAGGCTCCAATTTCGCTGCCTCGTTCAAATCTGCATTCAATTCATGAGCACGATGGGGGATGCGGCAGCAGCAAGCCACACACCCTTCTGAGCATCAGGCAGCATGCCCATCGCCACCCGCGCCTGCGCGCGCCGGAACAGCGCTTTCACATTGCCCTTACTCAGCGTTAAAACGGTCGAGCAGTCGCGCTCCGCGTCCTCGTTTCTAAGGTCCCAAAAAACATGTTGAGAGGAGATAACGGGTGCACGGTCGCGCGGAACATACTTGCCTAGCTTGAGGTACGCGGCGGCGCGGTTGAGGGGGAAGGTCGCGTCGGTGCGGTCGGTGTGGATGGCGGCGCTGTAGTGGCCGATCGCGGTGGGGTAATCGCCTGCCTTGAAGGCTGCGTTGCCCTGCAGTGTGTTAGTATACAGCTGCGAGCGCATCGGCTCAAGATACCTTTTCTTTCGCCGCCTGGGCCATGGTGGTGAGCAGAAGGTCAGTGCACGTGCACTCGACGACTTTCTTTCCGCGACATGGGGACGCCCGCCGCGCCCGACTGGGACTCTCGTCAGTGTTTTCGCGTTTACTTGGATTGCTGCTTATCCTGCCCGCAGTGATCCCCATCGACCCTGCGCTGCAGCCCCAGCCCCAGTCCCAGTCCCAGTCGACCCCGACCCCGACGCCGTAACTTACCCTTCCCCTCGACCTGCCCCGGCGTGTTGATGCAGTTCAGCCCAGGGCGACCCCGTACACCCAATACACCGCCTACACGCAGCATTATCAGCAGCAGCCTGCGTATCAGGCCTACCAGGCCCAGCAGCAGCAGCAACAACATTATGCTGCCCCGAGCACACCTGCGCGCCAGAGCACCCAGGACTCTTCTGATGCAGCCTCAGCTAACGATGCCGCCGTGCGTTGGCTAGTCCATGTAGCCTTGAATATTCCCTGATACTCAATTTCCACAGGCAGAGGAAGAGAAGCCGCGAGCAACCACAACACAACCCGCCGCCTCCTCGCGCCCCAAACTCGACCGATCGCGCAATCAGCCGCTGAACCCCAACTTCGACATCGAGGTGCTCAAGCCGCGCCTCGCGGAGATCGCCGCGCACCACAAACTCACGGGCGGCGTCCCCGACGCGATCGCCGCGTACCTCGCCCTCGCCCTGCGCGCCCGCCTCGAGGGCCTCGTCGCGCAGATGAGCGTGGCCGCGCGCCACCGCACGGACACGCAGTTTGAGCGCCCCGCGGCGGTCTACGGCGCGAGCCTCCCCATGTGGAGCCTCGTCGTGCGCAGCGACGTCGCGAAGCAGGCCGCGGTCCTCGAGCGCATCGAGCGCGAGGAGGAGACCAAGGTCCGCCGCGAGCGCAAGGAGCGCGCGGAGATGACCGCCGCGCACGCCGCGGCGCTCGCGGCGCAGGCGGCCGGGGGCGCGGGCGGCGCCGCGGGCATGGACTTTGACGATGACGAGGGCGGCAAGCGCAAGAAGAAGAAGGACGGGCCCGGCGTGACGGCGCGCAACATGTCCGAGGACGTGCGCAAGAAGATGTCCAACGCCGTCGCGAGCCAGGCCGCGGGCATCGGCGGCAAGTATTCGTGGATGAACGCGGGGAATGCGGCCGCGGCGGCGGCGAAGCCCGCCGTCAAGGCCTCCTCGGCGACGCCGTCGACGCCGTCTACGACTGCAACCACCCCTGCGACGACGACCACTGCCGGCGCGGGTTGGGCGCGCGCGTATGTCCCGAAAAAGGCCGGTGCGGCGGCGGCGCCTGCACCCGCCCCCGTAGAGGAGGATACGCGGACGGCGATCACCATCCGGGACGCGCAATTTGTGGTGGAGAAGGAGCGAGGGCACGGGGGCGGGCGAGGGAGCGGTAAAGGATGGACTTGAATCTAGCATGAAGCATGTACGTACATACTGGGTGGGCAATGTATTTTTATTATTCCAGTCGCAATTGCTTTCGATGCTGGTAACATACAACAAGACGAAGAACCGCAACTCAACATACTCCACTCATGAACGGACCACACGTTGCGATCTGCCTAACAACTCGAAGAAGAAGTGGCTCGGGAAGGCATACGCTTCGTCGTCCTCGGCGTACAGAACATAGAAAGTCCTGTCCTTTGCGTCCTTTCCCGACATAAAGCATTGGAGACGGAACGCTTCGTTCTCCTCCGGTACGAAGAATACCTCTGCGTGGAGCGGCGTGGGGTTCTCCGTCCAGGCCGTGAGCTCGGGCGGGCTGACTGGGGCGAGGGAGTAGGGGCCAGCGCGGCCAGTGTGAAAGGTTCACAGTTAAGAATGGACGGCGGGTATTGGGGGGACTCGGCGCGCGGCGCGGGATGCGGCGAAGGCCCGTCGGGTGTCATGAGAGGAGCGTCGTTCCGGGGTGTTTTGGGATGCTAAAGATTCTCGTTGGATTGGTGTCGGAACCAAAGGAGCTGATTAGGGGTAAAGGCAATCTCCGAGTGTTTTCAACTTGGACGCAATCTTACTAATTAGACCCTCGAGCTCAGAGTCTCCAAAACGGCTGCCTATTATAGCCTATCGATCCATGTTATACCTCGTACAACGTACAGCATATATTTTTCTGAGGCAACTCCGAGTCTCTGATTTGAGCATCTCCGGTACTTTGTGACTTCGTCCACCCAGCGCGTTGACACGGTGTAACATTAATTTTGTCAATCCTAGACAGGAAAAATTCAGGTACGTACTCCCAGCTTGATCCACTGCCTGTTGGAAACATCGGAGCAGTACAAAAGCAATAAATAGACTTCAACGTTTTGATGCGAAAAATTAGGCAGGGAAAGGTGCGAGAAAAGGTATGCCGGTGGGTGGGTTATGTAGAAGACATTGGACCGACCGGTGAAGCCCACCCAATCCCGTTGGCGCAAACTTGCCAATTCTTTGGCCCCGCGCCTGCCTCGGATTGCCGATCCGAGTTCCGAAGACGGCACAAGTTGCACGGCCCGATGCCTCCAGAGGGATTCGAACCCTCGCCATGATTTGCTCTCTCGTGACGCAATTTCTCACAAGAAAGCTATTATCCAACTGAACCATGGAGGCACATAGGAGCACAAGGCGACCTCGCTATGACCCTGTTCCACGTCGTTTATGGCGTATCGAGCAGTCACTGCGGCCATTTAACTCAAACTTTAAAGTGGCGAGGTGCTCTGTTATTCTCGCTGGCTGCAGACTTCCTAAATATGCAGTGTTTTACATGAATTGTTGTTCACCTAGAGAGGGCCGAGCGCAAAAAATGGTCAAGTGTCGTTGCTGTAAATGATGCTACGCATGATGAGTTCTGCTGCACAGAAATCAAAGCTGAATCAGGGATTACTGCTTTAGGCTCGATATCTCTGATCCGTAGCTCAGAGGGGATATCAAACGCCGATGCGAGGATGCGCGGGGCAGGAGCCGACGCGTCATGTCACGCGACTGTGTCATAGTAACATCTCAACCTTTTGCTCTCAACCACCACCACGCCAGCGACGCCTTTATCCTTGCCTCACCCTAATCGCGCCCCTCATTTCTGCTCGCCCTCGTCGCTTCCGCTCGCCTTCGATCACCGCGCGCCCTTCGGCCCACTTTCGACCCTCCCCGCTAAGTATTTCAATGTCTAACTCCAGGCAGGTCGCTGTGACAAGAGACGTCATAAAAGCCATCGAAAACCCCAGCTTCAAGTTTCTTCTTCCGTGGGCCTTACAGAGCACCTGGGACGGGATGCTATCCCCAGTGAAGGAGATCCGCGAAGGGTACAAACTCTAGGCAAGATGGCCCTCAGCTCCGCGCTTGTGCTCGTATTCCGTGAGATTTGCAATGGCTTTGAGGCGGGCTGCACTCCAGGGCTCTATGGCGTAAGTGGTGGTCGCATTTCCGCCTGTTCTGTTTTGTCTCATGCTATTTCGACAGACCTTAAAGGACTGTCTTTTTTCTGAAAGAGTTCTCTTTGCTTTACTCCAGAAGCCATTCCGTGAAGGCGTCAAGCGAATCACGGAAAAAGGAGTAGGTGAGGTCTCTGACGGTGTTCATATCTTCGTCGGAGGTCTCTGGAGTGAAACAGAAGACCTCGGGAAGGTGTTTCCACTTGTCAAGAACGTATTCGGGCCTCTTCTCCTGATCGGAATGCAAACATGGGCTACATTGTGAACCTGTTCATCTTACCCACCTGCGCATCTATCTGCTCACCACATACTCTAGTCGAATTCAGAAAAAAGCTGTCTGAGCCAAATAGGTTCCAACTGCCCCGCCGGTTCGTTTCCTTCTATCAACCTGGAGCTCTAAGTGGTGATGAGTGGTGATCCTGGTTTATAGAGCTGCGCGTCTTACAGAGAATCTACGCCATGCAGGTTGCCTCAAAGCCGCCGAAGATCTCCAAAGCGGAGCAGCAAGCCAAGCGCGCGAAGTACCTTGAGATGGTTGCTCGATTCCCGTCCACCCCTCCCCCTTGCGCTTCGCCGACTCCTTCTGCCTTCTCTTATGACGCTACGATTCCCACGCTCGAGCTCCTTCCTGACGACTTTTTCAAGACCTCAGCGAGGTACTCGGAGCCCCGCCCACTTTCGGATGTTGCATCCTCGAGCAAGCATACGGCACAGCCTGAGCTTCTGCTCAATGCGTTTTCTTCGAAGGTGTGTAGACCATCTTCAGGCTTCGGCCTTTTAACGACCTCTCGACCAGAGGAAAGCGAATGATGAGGCAGAGCCAGATGAGAAATGCGAGACCGTGCCACGCAGCCCCCTTCACTCACGCAACCTCAACATCGACCACAGTATGCAAGTTTTTTGTTTGTTTGAGTTTCCATGTGTTCGCTGACGCACCTTTCTAGATCTTTTTGCTCCTACTCATTCCACGCCGCCCACGAAGTTTCCTATTCGCTCGTCCAGCTCTATCCCTCAACCCCACAGGCCTGCAAACATTAGTTCCCCTTTCCCTTTTGATTCATCTCCTCAAGATCTGCGCGACACAACCCCATCTTTTCAAGAGCTCAGCCTTCAAGAGCCCGAACCCGCACCTGTCTTTTCCCAGGAGGATTACATTTGGCTATCTACCCTTCCTGGCTTCAATCCCCCAGTAAATGGCTGATACATAACCCAACACACTCCTTTCCTTTTCTTTTGGCTTCTAGACTCAGGTATCGATTACTACAAGCTATTGCTGCTCCCAATTACCACGTACAAGACTAGCTGTCATCATTTTCAAGAATCGAATGGAATCTTGTGGCCAAGAATGCAAACCCTGACATAACAAAATGAAAGAGGTTTTGCCAAAAGAAATCCGTTATTTACATTTCCAGAGAGTTCTTCTTGAGTGACTACTACGCAGTAACATTCGCCCTACAGTAATGACAGCAAGCACAATTGAGAATGAGAGCAGACTACGACCGTGCGCCTACAAAATGACAAGATCTCCGCGACACGAATGGCACCAGAAGACGTGCGAATCGTCGAGGAACTGCGGGCGATGGAAGGGCGCCGGCGCGCGCGCAGGGGGTGATGTAGGCCGCGAGCCACCGTCCGCAGACTGCACCGGTGACAGGGCGCGCGACGGCGGGTGCGAGCTGTGCTGGTGTACGAGCGCGTGCGCTGCGACCTCACTGTCGATGCGCGCTTTGAGCATGCTGAGGCTGACTTTGCGCTTGTGTCGCGTCTCGGGCGTGAGGTTCTGGTCGAACACGGAGCGTGCGAGCGGCGGCGCGCCGGCACCGAGGCCTGTGCGCACGGACGTGGCGCGGCTCGCGGGGCGCGACGTCGAGGGGAGGCTCGGTGAGAGCGCGCGGTGTGCCGCTGCGGCGCCCCGCGTCTGCGCGACCTGGTCCTCGAGCGCGCTGACTTGCTTGCGCAGCGCGTGCGCTTTGGCTTCCGCATCGAAGACGGAGTTCTCGAGCGCCCGGATCTGCGACTGCGCGGCGGAGAGGTCGAGCGCATGCTGCTGGCGCAGGGAGCTGAGCAGCTCGTGGTCCAGTGAGTGCGGGTCGTCGGCCTTTGTCGGAGAGGAGACGACCTCGCGAAGGCGCTCAAGTTCCTCGTCTTTAGCGGCCATGTCGGCGCGGAGTGACTCGATTTCGTTTTGTGCCCGAGCTAAGAAGTCTTGCTCTTCATCCTGGTCGGTTCGCCGTTCCGCTAGCTCCTGCTGCAAAGCCGACAACTCATCCTGCTGAGCGTTCGACGCCGCTGTGAGCCGCTCGATCTCCTCCAGCCGTTTGGCGCTCTCCTGGCGATGACTAGCCCGCTCAGCCTCGAGAGATCGGATACTGTCGGTCGACAAGTCCAACTCCTCCCGAAGATCAGCATATGCCTTTTGCAGCTCGCCCGAACTCGCCTGCGCCAACGTACGGTCCTTCTCGCGCTGCGCTAAAACCTCCTCCAGTCGGTGATCAGCCTGTTCCTTCTGGTCGCGCAGTTCGTCCAAGTCCGCCTCCAGCTGTCCGATGGTGGTATCCCGATTTCGCAACGTGTGCTCGAGCCCATCGACCTTCTCGCCAAGCTCCAGTTTCACCCCAGTGAGCTCCACTATTTTCGGCCGCATCTCGTCGAGGGAGCGCATCAGCGTCGTCCCCTCGGCCTGCAGATCCTTCTGCGTCTGTTCGGCGTCCTCCGCCCGGCGGTTCGCAGCTTTGAGCTCATTTTGTGTCGTTTGGAGCTGCCGGCTGCTCGCGGCTAGCTCGGAAGTAACCTGCAACAGCTTCTCGTTCAGCTGAGCAAATGCCTTTTGTGCGGTGGTGATTTCCGACTGGAGACTCGACTTTTCCTGTGACAGCGCGTCCTTCTCGGACGAGGTCAATGCCAGCTGTTCCTGGACCGTCGAGTGCTGCTCGTGAAGGGACGAGTGCTTCGACTTCCACTGCTCCTCACTCTCGCGGAAGGTTTGGAGCTGGGCGTCAAATTCATCGCGTTCCGTCTTGAGAGTGCTGTGCGCCTGCGAAAAGAGATAAACAGATGGCACGGCGCAGAGAAGAGTAAACCCACCTGCTTGAGCTTCGAAAGTTGGAACTCCAGCTCATCCGCCCGGTTCTGCGTATTCTTGAGCGAGTTCTCCGCGCGCTCGAGCCGGTCGTCGCTTTGGATTTGCTCCCTCAGCTCCCGCATCTTTCTCTGGTGCTTCTCCGCCTCCTTCTTCGACTCGTGCATCGCTGCATTCGCGAGCTGCAGTTCGCGTTCCTTTCGTTGTATACATGTTAGAATGTGCGCCCGCTTAGGAAATAAACTTACCTGTTCGCGGCACTTCTCGGCGAGCTCTTTCTCCTTCGATTCGGACTGCTGGATGCGCACGGTCGCCTCGCTCGCGTCCGCTCTCAGCCGCCGCACATGCTCGTCGAGCTCCTGCGCTACACGCCGCTCTTCTTGGAGTAAAGCTTCCGTCGTTTGGGCCTCTACAGCCGATGGTTAGACTCCGTAGTTGTAGATAATAAACGCGTACGAGTCTCTACGCCCTCGAGGCGCTCTAATTCAGACGCAAGCGACGCCTTTTCCGAGACAAGCAGCGAGATCGTCTGCTGCTGATTCTCCTGCAGCGTCTGATTCTCGGCCTGCAGACGCTGCACCCGCTCCTCCAGCGCCTTGGCCGCCTCCCGTGACTCGTGCAGGAGCGCCTCCGTCTGCTGGGTCTCTATGGAGCGTCAGCTGTATGCAGTGGACATACAGAAAACGCTTACGGGACTCGAGCTGCTTGAGACGCGTAACATCCACAACAAGCGCCTCGTTCTCCGCTTTCAGCGCGCTGAGCTGCTTCTGGAGCGCCGCCTCCTTCCCGGGCGGCGGCGAGGTCAGGCTCGTGCGGGTCGGCGGGGAATATGCACTCGACGGCGGCGGCGGTGATTTTGGCGGCGGTGACTTCTCCACCGCGGGCGGGGGCGGCGAGGGCGCGCGCGGCAGCGAAGACAGCCAGTCGGGCTCGTCCTTCACTGCAGTGAAGCTAACCGGATGTGAGCACCACCCCGGTGTGCATACGCCGTAGAGATGCACCTACACGTCTCCCAAATCGCGTTTCTCTTCGTCCGCTGGGTCCGCTGGGGCTGGGGTGAACGCCCTTGAGGGTGGGGGACTGATGGGCGACGCTATGCCCGG